CTGAAGTTGATGCAGTTAACTTAAATAAACTTGAATCTTTAAAGAATCCTGTTGTCAAAGTTCTTGCTAAACATACTAGTGATCAAGAAGCTAAAAAAGCTGATTCTGATATTGCTAAAGGTCTTGAAGCACAACTTTTATTAGCTAAAGATGCTCGAGTTATATTAACAGCAAATCTATGGACAGAAGCTGGATTAGTTAATGGATTAATAGAAACTATTTATGACATTTTGTATAATGAGAATGGTCCACCTTTTCTTCCTGTAGCAGTTTTTATTGCTTTCGATAATTACAATGGTCCTGCTATTAGAATATTAGAAGGTGTAAATGTTGTTCCAATAGTACCTATTCAATGTACTTAGGAAAGTAAATCTGGGATAATGTGCTCACGAACACAGATTCCTATTTGTCTTGCTTGAGCTATTACAGTTCATAAAAGTCAGGGACTTACTCTTTAATAGATCTTGGAAATAAAGAGTTTGCAGCTGGTCTTTCTTTTGTGGCAGTGTCTTGAGTTCGTGCTCTCTCTGATCTTCTTTTTAAACCTTTTAGCTTTGAAAGGCTTCAGCGAATTAAAAATTGTAAAAGATTACAAGATCGAAAAAATGAAGAAAAGCGACTGATATCTATGATATTTAATGAATAAAAAGAGTAATAGTTAATTTATATATATATATATATATATTATTATGTTATAAAAAAAAATTTAACTAAATATGATTAGCTATACAATATTACTATATATGTATTATTACTATTACTGTTTATATATTTATTATTAAAGCAGAAGTTTGTTTGATTAGCTAATAAATTTAATTTAATTTTATATTATTTATATAGTTTAGAATACTTTTTAAAAAAATAAAAAATAATTATAATAATAATGAAATAAAAAAAGCTATATAGAAAGTTTTATTAGAGCTGTAAAACTTCATAGCCAAAAGTAAGATTTAATTCTTATCTGTTTAAAAAGATAGTTATTAATAATTTCTCAAAACCCGATAAAATCAACTTATTAGTAAGCTAATTTTTTTAAACAAAAGAGTATTAAATTTTATTTTGACTATGGAGTTCTATAGGTTTAATAAAATCTTCTATATAGTTTTTTTTATTTTATAAATAATGCTAATATAATGTAGTATTTTTTATCTTGTTATTGCAATTAAATTATACAAATTGTGATTCTTAATTATAAGATTCGATATATCTAATTAATGCTCCGGCCTCATACCAGTTTCCAGTTCTTAGTATATTTTCTTTTATAATATATCTTTTTTAAACTTATATATTTTTTTTATTTTTTTTATCTTTTAATATATTTTTTCTTCTTTGTGATTTCTTAAAAAGTCTTTTTTTTTTATTTTTTTTAGTTTAGTTTCTTTTTTTCTTTGTTTTTAACCTTGAATTTGGGCTAAAATTTATTTTTTATATTAAAGCTTAAATCTATTTTTTTTTAAATAATTTGACTTGTTTTTTATAATTTTGTAAGAAACTAATAAATAATCTGGTTCTTTAAAGTCTTTTTTTATTTGTTTATAGCTTTAAATTCAAAAATTTGTTTTATAAATCTTCTTTAGAAGTATTCTTTTTAGTTTTTTAATAGACAATCCATCTGTCATCTGGAGAGGATCTGTAAATTTTATAAGTAAATTTTACTATTGAGCCAAATGTGGAGATTTTTTAAAGAAATTTAAAGAAAACTTTTTTCTTACTAAGTAAATCACTCTTCATCAGGAAATTTTTTAAGCTGATAGGTTACGATTACTAACAATTAATCGATTATTA